GCTTTTGCGGTGTTCGTCAAGATAGTCACAGTGCCTCCTATTTATTTAGTTGAATAAACTATGTGATTGCATTTTAGTGTTGCTTTTTTCATTCGCACCTTCTCTTGATTAGGATCTCTATTTCACCTAATACCTGATTTCTTATTTTCAATTAAATGTAGTTTTTCTAACAGTTTTTAGGAATCTCTGCAATTGTAGAAACAAATTCCGTAATTTGTAAATCGCTGTTTCCTCAAAATTACAACTGATGTTACTCAGTTAAGTTACCCCTGCAGACTAGTTTTTCATCATTTTGCACATATTCTTAGTTCTTGTTGTTTTATATTTTCTCTAAACTCTATTCCTAGTCTTCGTAATCTCTAGTGCAGCCCAACACTGTTGGGCTTAGACAGGAAGTATGACAGATCCACTTCTGCAAACGGAACTTGAACTAGATTATCGTAAGTCAGTGCTATTATGGCCTTCAGGCACTACAAGACCTTTGAGGCTAAGTGCAACCAAATCAGGCATGACAGGCTTATTCTGTATACAGTTGCCAGTGCACTGCTGACGGTGTGCTATATTAGAAACAGTTCTGGACTAGATATGGAGACCAGGATGTCGTGTCATTGCCTCATATATAAGATACAATGATGATAACACAAGTGTCATGCATCCCAAAGTTGCTGGTTGGAATATGAGATGGTGGACGTGAAAGTGGTTAGTACATGTGGAAAGCACTCTGGAAAAGTTCTGTTCATTCTGTCTGGAGTAATGCTGGTAGAAGGAGCAATAGGGAGAAAGGCGTCAGAGAAAGTATATGTAACCAGATCTAGTAAGTTACAGGGCTGATAGTAGATGAAAGATGTCTTGTTACTTTGGGTGGCCAAGGTGGGTGGATCACCTGAGGTCAAGAGCAAAAAATGGTAAAGCAATGAGATGAGACAAGCCTGGCCAATGTGATGAAACGCCGTCTCTACTAAAAATACAAAAATTAGCCAGGCATGGTCGCATATGCCTGCAATCCCAGCTACTCGGGAGACAGAAGTACAAGAATCGCTTGAACCCAGGAGACGGAGGCTGCAGTGAACCGAGATTGCAGCACTGCACTCCAGCCTGGGCGACAGAGTGTGACTTCGTCTCAAAAAAAAAAGATGTCGTGTTATGTTTACATCTTATAAAGCAGAATACTAGTATAATGTGACAGTAATATTCCACAATTATAGTTTTTTATTGCAACTGATATTTCTAACTACAACAAACTGAGACATCAGTTAGTAGACTTTATCTTTTTAAAGGTCGCAGCGTTTTCAGTATGTTCTGCATAGTGATAATAAATGTAACTTTTGTAGGTGACACAATCATCTTTTGCCATATTTTCACAATTTTGAGAAAAGTCAGCACCATTCTAGTTTTTCCTCTAAATTTTGTGTTAACGTTTATTTTATTTTATTTAGTTTTTTTTTTGAGATGCGCTCTTGCTGTGTCGCCCAGGCTGGAATGCAATGGCACGATCCCCGCTCACTGCAACCTTTGCCTCCCAGGTTCAAGCGATTCTCCTGCCTCAGCCTCCCTGATCACTGGGATTACAGGCCAGTGCCACCACTCCCGGCTAATTTTTGTATTTTTAGTAGAGATGGGGTTTCACCATGTTGGCCAGGCTGGTCTTGAACTCCTGACGTCAGGTGATCCATCCGCCTCAGGCTCCCAAAGTGTTGGGATTACAGGTGTGGGCCACCACGCCCGACTTGTGTTAACATTTCTGATAGAGCATCTCATTTCATTGTTTAAAAACTATATACCCTCCAGGGAGCAATGAGAAGCACAGATCTAGGATTTTTTCAAGGATGTTTGGTGATCTAAACGTACAGGCTGTTCGGTAAAAAGTGAACATGAGTGTTTAGGATGAAACCTTTTTGTTTAAATGGAGAAGTGAAAGGCTTGCCTGGGCATTTCCATATGCCTACTGTAATTGATTTCAGCATAAACGGTTGTTACTGGCACCTATTGCAGCAGCAGTGTTAAAGTATGTATAGTAAAATCACCACGTATAATTGTGTTATAATTAAACAGTTCTAATGTGATCTTAAAAAAAAAATTGTAGAGACAGATCTCACTATGTGGCCCAGCTAGGCTTGAACTTCTGGGCTTAAACCATCTTCCCACCTTGTCCTCCCAAGGTGTTAGGATTACAGGAGTGAGCCACTGAGCCTGGCCTAAATGTGATCTTAACATTTAATTTTTGCTTATGTTGCTAAACTGCCTGGGAAAAGCTTCTTCATCTTGATTGGATTTATCAGTACTCCTCCCCCTTGAAGCGATGTCAGAAGGAATCAATTGTCTCTTTGATTTTTAACCTAAGATAAACAACTGCTTTGATTTTATCTTTATGACTGCAACAGGTGAGTGGCATAAGTAAGGATATACCACCACTACCAAGAGTCAGTCTACTGAGAAATCAAGTTATTCCTGTGCCAACAGGTTATTTTAACAAATATCATCTTAAAGTGTTATTTCCCATTCTAATTTACTAAAAAAATATGAACAAGAAATGGGAAGCAACACAGTTAACCTGTGAGTCAGCAGTATCCTGATTTGCTTCAAAGTGGTTGTGGTTATATTAACTCCTTTCTTGTTTGTTTCCTGTTCTTAACAGCTGCTTGATGATAAAGTGCTTCCAAGAAACAGTAGTCTCTCAATTGTTTAAATTGTTTTGATCTACCTAGTGTACTTTTCCCCTAAAATTCATGATGAAATGGTAGAGTAAATCTATCTATATCTCTTTCCCCATGTTCAGTTTAGATAATTGATTATCCTCAAACTAAATATCCATGTCTATCTGCTGAGGTATTAACACATGATTCAATATGATACTAAGGTAAAAATGGAATAAATAGGCTGAGATAGCTGAAAAACTTGGGCTGTCTTTCAAGGAGCTATTTGATTTTTGTTGTTGTTGTTGTTTGTTTGGTTTTTTGAGACAAGAGTCTTCCTTTGTCGCCCAGACTGGAGTGCAGTGGTGCAATCTCAGCTCACTGCAACCTCCGCCTCCAGGGTTCAAGCGATTCTCCTGCCTCAGACTCCCTGGTAGCTAGGATTACAGTCATTGCGCCACCATGCCTGGCTGAATTTTTGTATTTTTACTTTTTACTTTTTCAAGCAAATAAGTTGGTGTTGAAAAGTCAGCATCTACCACTTTTTTTCTGTGCTAACAAGTGTATCATCAAACATTGAAACCTTTTGGGAATGTTTAAAACCTTCTCTTGAGTATAAGTAAAAATTCAAACTGGGCAGAGAGGCTTCCAGTCTTGGCAGAGATACAAATTTAGTTTACCTTGTGAAATCTAACACTTTAGGACATTTCCATTGTAATTTTGTTGTTAAAGAACATAAGGCTTTTTTCTATATGACTTTTTGCATCTTTTGAATGTTGACATAGCAGGCAAGACAGCTGTAGAACATGACTGCATATTCCTTTTAGAAGACTGGTTGATGTGAATGACTGGCATAATTGATTTTATTTAATAAATATCTTTTAAAGTCATAGTATAGTTTTGAAAATTAAATGGTGTAGAAGGACTTACTATGAAAAGTGTTGGTCATTTTCTCCATTTCACCCTCTTTCGTCTTCTGCTGATTTTGCTCTGTCACCCAGGCTGGAGTTGCAATGGTGTGACCTCAGCTCGCTGCAACCTCCACCTCCCAGGTTCAAGCGATTCTCCTGCCTCAGCCTCCCAAGTAGCTGGGATTACAGGCGCCTGCCACCACACCCGGCTAATGTTTTTGTGTTTTTAGTAGAGATGGGGTATCACCATGTTGGCCAGGCTGGTTTTAAACTCCTGACCTCAAGTGATCCGCCCACCTTGGCCTCCCAAAGTGCTAGGATTACAGGCATGAGCCACTGCTCCCAGCCTGGTGTCAACCACTTTTAACTTTATTTTTAGTACTGTTAGTGATGCTCTGTATCTCTTAAATATGTTACTGCAAAAAAAAAAAAAAAAAAGAAAAGAAAAGATGTTACTGCTATTTATTAAATAATTTTAGACGTCTATTGACTTGAATGTAAATGAACTAAATACTCATGTATACCTCTTTCCTTCTATAGTTTTCACTGTTTTGTTGCGTTGTTAATTGGTTGATCTTTCCCTTACCTAAACTTCTGTTTCTTACTCCAGCACCAGAGGTAGTATCTCTGGATTCTCACTTTTGAAATGAGGATATTGGCACTCACATAATTCCTTGGAAAAGCTAAGACTAAAGTTCATGGCATATGTTAAAATATGTAGTTGCATAAAAAGACATTCACCAAGTTCAGTGTTTGAAAACATACGCCAAGCTATATGAGAAGGACATAGTATAGATAAGAAACAAATCAAAAGATAGCATAGTTCATTTACAGGACAAGTTAATAGACTTCTTTAAGTGGCTCGGGAATTGTGGCATCAAATTGTTGAGAAGAAAATGTAAAAGCACACTAGTTGACTCTGCTGAATCATGAGTTTAGATATTATTTATATACTATTGTTTAGAATCAACCTCTATCCAAGGGACAGAAAATTTAATTATGAATCTGTAATAAAGAACATTTTTCTTACCCCACTTCAAATTTTTAATATAATCCATAGTATGAAATATATTTTAAATCATAACCTGAGATACTATACATGCAACTGAAAACAAGTATTTTCACCGAACAGTATCCTTACTATAAACAGTACTTAACTTTACCAGAATATGTTTGGTCCGAATATTCTCTTTTCTTAAAAAAAAAAAAAAAATTGCAACCCCGTAAATGAATTCATGACCAGACCACTGTACTAAACATCATGTATGAACTAATATGTAAGATTATTGCGCCTTTTTGGTGGATAAAAAGTAAAGTAGAAATTAAGTTAAACACTTTTCTCTCTTCATAGGACATTGGCTCTCTGGATTATCAAGAATTTGTAGTTGACATTGAATCCAGGCTGAGGATGGAAGGTGTGGAACTTAAAGAAGAATGGCAAGATGAAGATTTTCCAATGTGAGCAATGCTTTTAAATGAAAACAATTTTAGAGTAAAACTGCAGAATTTCTTTATTGAGATGTTATTTTTTTTACTTTTTATGTTTTGAGAAGGAGTCTTGCTGTGTCACCCAGGCTGGAGTGCAGTGGCACGATCTCAGCTCACTGCAACCTCCGCCTCCTGAATTCAAACAATTTCTTCTGCCTCAGCCTCCTGAGTAGCTGGGACTACAGGTGTGCGCCACCACACCCGGCTAATTTTTGTATTTTTAGTAGAGACGGGGTTTCACCATATTGGCCAGGCTGGTCTCAAGCCTCTGACCTCGTGATCTGCCTGCCTTGGCCTCCCAGAGTGCTGGGATTACAGGTGTGAGCCACCGCACCCGGCCAAAGTTTCTTTTCAACAGTTAGATTGACTCTCTTGTATCTTCCTTTCCAACCAAATAGATATATAGTCTTGTGTAATCTTTCATTTTTGTTTTGGTCGTTTAAGTTTCCAAATTTTTGCTTTTATAATAAAGTGTTTTAATGTGGTTTTTTTTTTTTTTTTTTTCCTTTAAGCAAAGTCTGAGGGATTCCTCAGAGAAGGAGGTCTTTAGTTGTCTTTTAAATTTTTCTTTAATTTTGTGGCCAGGTGCGGTGGCTCACACATGTAACCCCAGCACTCTGGGAGGCCGAGGTGGGCAGATCGCTTGAGGCCAGGAGTTTGAGACCAACGTGGCCAACATGGTGAAACCCCATCTCTACTAAAAATGCAAAAAATTAGCCAGGCTTGGTGGCGCGTGCCTGTAGTCCCAGCTGCTTAGGAGGCAGAGGCACAAGAATTGCCTGAACCTGGGAGGCAGAGGTTGCAGTGAGCTGAGGTCGCACCACTGCACTCCAGCTTGGGTAACAGAGCAAGGCTCTGTCTCAAAAAAAAATAATAATAATTTTGTGGATCCCCCCCAGCCCCCTCCCCCCAAAAAAACCTTACTAAGTAAATTATTAAGGGTTTTCTAGCTCATTTGGCCAGCCACCTTCACATGTTTGCATTTGTATTTACAATTATATTGGCACCAGGTAGGCTGATGAAAAAGAACAAAGGCAGACCTTATATTTAAATAGTGCTTCCATGCCATAGTGGGCAGAAGACATCCTAGTGCATAATCAGGTGCCTTAGCAGTTGGATAGCTTAGCAGTTGGACAGCTGATAGGAGACCTGAGTCACTGTTGCATATGGTGGTGATAATAAATATAAGAATGCTGATCTCAGAAGAATTGAACCATCGTCACTGTAGTCTTATTGTGAGTAAAAATTGAGCTTCATACATTGCATCATACATCACATTATACTTGTGCATTTCAGTCATATTTATTTAAAATTGTTACATGTTTTATAATAAGAGCTGTGCATAAGGAATTTATATCTACTTTTATGTGTTACTTATATGTAATAAGTGTATAAGTCAGCTCTGATAGTCAGAATTTTTACTTTGAAAGTGTAGCCAGGCATAGCAGCTAACTCCTATAATACTAGTGTTTTGGGAGGCCAAGGCAGAAGGATTGCTTGAGACCATCCTGGGCAACATAGCAATATCTGGTCTCTACAAAAAAAAACTTTAAAAATTAGCTGGGCGTGTTGATGTGCCACTGTAGTCCTAGCTAGTCAGAAGACTGAGACTTTATCTTACACACTGCTAGGCTGGGCACAGTGGCTCATGCCTGTAATCCTAACACTTAGGGAGGTCAAGGCAGGAGAATCGTTTGAGCCCAAAAGTTTGAAGCCAGCCTGGGCAACATAGCAAGACCCTGTCTCTACTAAAAATTAGCCAAGCGTGGTGACATGCACCTGTAGTCCCAGATACTCAGGAGGATCTCTTGAGCCCAGGAGTTAAGGCTGCAGTAAGCCATGATTGTGCCATTGTACTCCAGCCTAGGTGACAGAGCAAGACACTGTCTCAAAAACGACAACAACACTGCTTTATTCCATTTTCCAAATACTTATTTCTATAAGCTGTATGTTTAATAGATTGAAATTCAAAAAAAATTCTTTCTTAATTTCTGGATTAAAAAGTATACCTGTGTCTTCTAGACCTTTACCAGAAGATGATAGTATTGAAGCAGATATATTAGCTATAACTGGACCAGAGGACCAGCCTGGTAAGAGCTTGCCACTTATTTTCAATTAAATTATGGACTTTGTGTTATTTTTTAAAACATGTTTCTTTGTCCAAAAAAAAAAAAAACTTGAGTTTTTATTCCATCATAGAAGTCAAAGTATAAGTTGAACATTGAGGAAACCTTTTTTAGAATACTTTAAAAAATTCCAAAAACATATGCTTGGTTTTTGGAAAGTTTTACAGTAAAGGGGTGGAGGAGATCATTTTTAGTGGTAAGAGGTATCTATAAGGTCTGCCTCTATTTAAAAGACATTGATGCTTTATTGATCTCTTGCCAACGATGTAGAAACAGCAATGATCAGAATAAAAATTTTGTGAATAGGTGCTTTGAAGTTATGTTTAATTAATATTATTTTTCCCAAGAATGAAGTAGTTAAAATTTTTCTTATTCAACTTGAGCATCTAAGCATTCATTGTTACGTATCTTTTTCTTTATTTTCCAATTCCAGGCTCACTAGAAGTTAATGGAAATAAAGTGAGAAAGAAACTAATGGCTCCAGACATTAGCCTGACACTGGATCCTAGTGATGGCTCTGTATTGTCAGATGATTTGGATGAAAGTGGGGAGATTGACTTAGATGGCTTAGACACACCATCAGAGAATAGTAATGAGTTTGAGTGGGAAGGTAAATGTTTCACTGTTTTTAATCTGATCTTTTTTAATGTATTAAGGGATTTTGTTTGAAATATGTCATTCTTTCTAAAGTTCATATATTTGTTACTAAGATACAAAATTCTGCTAACACTTGAATATTCTCAAGGACTTCAAAACTCTGTATATGGTAGATTACACCAGTGGCTTTTTTCACTTCTTATTTGCCCAGCGCTGTCATGTTTTTTCATAGTTGTTTCAAAAATATTTCTTGATACTTATGGCATGCTCTCTTTTAGTCAATCAAGAAACTTTGGAAGAGACATATAGTGAACAGTTTGTGGGAAGGGAGTTCTGAAAGGAGGCGTTTGCCTTTGGCTTTTTAAGTAGGCTTGCCTGACATTACTCTACTTTGTGAAATGACCAACTTAAATTAATGTATACTTTTAGCCCCCAAACCTAGTATTCCTTGTTATTTGTAATTCAAAGGAATTGTGCTGTGTTTTACTTTGCATGCTTTCTTTAATTAGAAAATTGTTTACAGTATCTTATATATAGTTGTTATAATTTTTATATATGTTTTTTCATCTTGAAAATGATTTTTTTTTCAAAGTAATGTTTAGCATTCAGTATTTTACTGTAATAAAGTGTGATGTGCTATAATTTTGGTTTCTTTTTTCTTCCCTGTTTTACTGGTTCAATAAACAGTCCAGTAATAAGCAATACTTTATATAAAGTTACTGAAATAGTTTTGTGCCTATGTGTTTTGTCTCTTCTTTCTTTAATGCTGCTGTAGTCATTTCCTGGAAGGATATTTTCCGTTAACAGCTTTGTCTTGGAAACAACTAACATACAGTAGGTTTCCCCCTCCCCCCATCTTTTGGTAAGGACTATAATACTGAAATTTTGAAAATTATTACTACATTAAAAATCAGCTAAACTGCAATCTCAAAACATAAATTACACTTAATCATTGGTGCTTATGCTTTGGCTAATGCTAATTTAAATAGACTTCTGCATGTATACTTCAAAATATTATACATACATTTCTGCTTTATAAAACTGATCAAATGAGAAGTGATCACTGAGTAGTTAACCACTTCGTATCTGGTATTACAGTTAATTTATGTGCTCAGCAACAACAAAATTGGCTCCCAGATAGCTACTTGAAGTAACCTATAGTCATAACTGCCAGGGAGAATATTGTCACGAGTTGAATCTGGAAAGGCATTATAAGGCCCATGTACTAAGATTTTGAGGACTCTATGAATTATATTTTCTGAACTTGTGGATATACATTGCACTATGATTAGGTGGTTTTTGCTAAATTGGGCAATAAAAAAAGTTAACCATGATTTCCAAAGACGTAAAATGGCCTCATGTTAAGAATAAGCCTTTTCCTGCATTATGGAAGAGATATTTAAAATTGCACAGATGGTATAATGAAAATTCTCTGTAAAATCTAGATAGTAAAGTGGTTAACGTATAATTTGATTTTTGTTGTATAACAATTGGTGATTGAAAAACTTTTTATTTTGACAGATGATCTTCCAAAACCCAAGACTACTGAAGTAATTAGGAAAGGCTCAATTGCTGAATACACAGCAGCAGAGGAAAAAGAAGATGGACGACGCTGGCGTATGTTCAGGATTGGAGAACAGGACCACAGAGTTGATATGAAGGCAATTGAACCCTATAAAAAAGTTATCAGCCATGGGGGTAAGAGTTACTGAACATTTTTCAGATTGTTTAATGTGGTATCAGAATTCTAAATACTTTTAGAAACTCTGCCTAGAGATATTATGTAATTTTGAAAGAATAATAAGCATTTATCATATCATTTTAGAAACATGATAGATTTGAAGTAAAAGAAGAAAAGTACCATTTTTTTTTCTTTTTGCTTTTGAGATGGAGTCTCGCTCTGTGGCCCAGGCTGGAGTGCAGTGGCGTGATCTTGGCTCACTGCAAGCTCCGCCTCCTGGGTTCACACCGTTCTCCTGCCTCAGCCTCCCGCGTAGCTGGGACTACAAGTGCCCACCACCAAGCCCAGCTAATTTTTTTGTATTTTTAGTAGAGGCGAGTTTTCACCGTGTTAGCCAGGCTGGTCTTGATCTCCTGACTTTGTGATCCTCCCGCCTCAGCCTCCCAAAGTGCTGGGATTACAGGCGTGAGCCACTGCGCCCAGCCAAAAGTACCATTTAAAAATGATTATATAACTACAGTAAGTTGAAAAAGTACAAAAGAATTTGTAGTGAAAACTGTCAGGTTGGGCATGGTGGCTCAGGTCTGTAATCCCAGCAATTTGGGAGGCTGAGGCAGGAGGATTACTTGAGCCCCGGGGTTTAAGACCAGCCTGGGCAACACAGACCTTGTCTCCACCAAAAAAAAAAAAAAAAAAAAGCCAGGAATGGTGGTGTACGCCTGTAGTCTCAGCTACTTAGGAGGCTGGGGTGGGAGGAGAGAGAGCTCGAGCTTGGGAAGTTGAGGCTTCAGTGAGCCGTGATCATGCCACTCCACTCCAGTTTTTTGTTTTGTTTTGTTTTGTTTTTTGTTTTTTGACCCTGTCTCAAAATTTTAAAAAGAAATTTTTTTTTAGCTGTCTCTAGGCTACCCAAAACTGGGACTGTACTTTCTCCATAATTTATAAACAGTGAAATGCCCTGATCTTAAGTGTACAATTCAATGAGTTTTGACAAATGCCCATATAACTGTATATTCCCATATATATAACCCACACCCCTAAACATATAGAACATTTTCATTGTCCCAGAATAATTCTTTAATACCCCTGCCCAATGAATACTCACCTCGGTAGCCACTGTCATATCTACCGCCTGATTAGTTTTACCTGTTCTAGAATTTCATATATAGTAACTGAAATCATCCTGTGCACTCTTTTGTTTACTTTTCAGTATGAAGTTTTTGAGATTCATCCATGTTGTTGATGTATCCACAGTACATTCCTTCTTATTGGGGAGTAGTTTTCCATTGCATGGATAAACCATAATTTGCTTATCCATTCTTTTTTTTTTTGATGTGCATGTGAGTTGTTTCCAGCTTGGGCTATTATAAACAAAACCGCTTTGAGCATTCTTTTAGAAGTCATTTATGGATATAAGTAAAACTTGGACTTTTTTTGGTTTTTGAGATGGACTCTTGCTCATCACCCAGGCTGGAGTGCGGTGGCGTGATCTTAGCTCGCTGCAACTTCTGCCTCCCTGGTTCAAGGGATTCTCCTGCTTCAGCCTCCCGAGTAGCTGGGATTACAGGCGTATGCCACCACACGAGCTAATTTTTTATATTTTTAGTAGAGAAAGTGTTTCACCGTATTAGCCAGTATGGTCTTGATCACCTGACCTCATGATTTGCCCACCTCAGCCTCCCAAAGTGCTGGGATTACAGGCTTGAGCCCCTGTGCCCAGCCCTAAAACTTAGACTTTTTAACCTTAACTCTTAATGTGCCTTAAAATCCTGAACAAATTTTTTTTTTCCTTTTTTTTATTTTTTTGTTTTGTTTTGTTTTTTGAGACGGAGTCTCGCTCTGTCACCCAGGCTGGAGTGCAGTGGCGCAATCTTGGCTCACTGCAACCTCTGCCTCCTAGGCTCAAGCGATACACCAGCCTCAGCCTGCCAAGTAGGTGGGACTGCAGGCACACACCACCATGCCCGGCTAATTTTTGTATTTTTAGTAGAGACGGGGTTTCACCATATTGGCCAGGCCGGTCTTGAACTCCTGACCTTGTGATCCACCCGCCTCAGCCTCCCAAATTGCCTGGATTACAGGCATGAGCCACAGCGCCCAGCCCAAATTATTTTTTAATAGAGAACTCATTCACTCCACATTTTTATAGAGTACCCACTTTCCATACTTATGGGATATACAAAAATACAAGGCTTAAGTCCCTTCCCTTAAGAAACAGGAAAAGCTATAAAAGTTTAAGTTATAAATCCTGTGAATCTAACAGTACCATATATAGAAGTTTACCTAGGCACATTGTAAATAGTGCTAGAATGTTAGTGGCAAGTCAGAACACAACTCACTGTAGAGCATGTCACACTACCTTAAATCCTCCTAACACAGGACAGAGCGGCACATGGGTCAAGCAGATTGATTTTTTTTCGGAGTCATTTCCACTTAATTTACCACTTACTTTAATGCCAGATGCATTCCCCTGCTTATTTCTACAGTCTTCATTCATCTGAAAGCAAATCACATGAATATTTGTAGTTGCATTCTTCTGCCTAATTTAATCATACTCAGATGAAGAAAATGGCATAATCTGGATCAGGAAGTCTACAGACGTATATTATTCAACTAGTTCACTGGAATCAAATTATAAGGCCTGATTTATGGCTTCAATCTCTTCTTTCAGAAATAGCACTTTTTTATAGGGGAAAATAAGACCACCTTATCTTATTGCATTATCACACTTAATATATTTTGTGACTGAGTGATTAAGAAAGGTAGTGAAGATTCTGATGTTCTTGAAATGTTCAAATCTTTTCAAATGCAAATTTGTAAACAATAGAAATGAAGGTTAAAGCAGAAGTATTTGCTACTAAATATGGGCTTAATATCTAAAGAAAGCAGTTGAAATATATGTATTTTAGCGCTGTTTTCCATTACTGAAAATTATGTCAGAGATGTAATTTAGTTTTTGGTTTTCTTTTTTTTTTTTTTGAGACCCAAGTCTTGCTCTGTTGCCCTGGCTGGAATGCAGTGGGACAGTCTTGGCTCACTGCAGCCTCCGCCTCCCAGGTTCGAGTGATTCTCCTGCCTCAGCCTCCTGAGTAACTGGGACTACAGGTGCACACCACACCCAGCTAATTTTTTATATTTTTAGTAGAGACGGGGTTTCACCATGTTGGCCAGGCTGGTCTCAAAACTCCTGGCCTCAAGTGATCTGCCCACCTCGGCCTCCAAAAGTGCTGGATTTACAAGCATGAGCTGCCGCGCCCGACCTAATTTAGTTTTAATGTCCTAAATTCTACAAAATGCTAGCATTTTGAAATATAAAACTTACCTTTTAAAAATCACTCACTTATGGCTCTGGTGATGTGGCTTATGCCTAGCGCTTTGGGAGGCCAAAGGAGGAGCATTACTTAAGGCCAAGAGTTCACGACCAGTTTGAGCAACACAGTGAAACCCTATGTCTACAAAAAAATGTTTAAAAAGTTAACCAGGTGTGTTTGTGTGTGCTGTATCCCCAGCTCCTCTGGATGCTGTGAAGTGGGAAGATCCCTTGAGCCCAGAAGTTCAAGGTTGCATGAGCTGTGATTGTGCCACTGCACTCCATCCTGGGCAACAGAGCAAGATACTATCTTTTAAAAAAAATTTTTAAATTAAAAAGCACCCACTTTGCCGGACACGGTGGCTCACGCCTGTAATCCCGGCACTTTGGGAGGCAAATCACGAGGTCAGGAGTTCGAGACCAGTCTGGCCAATGTAGTGAAACACCGTCTATACTAAAAATACACAAAAAATTAGCCGGGCAGGGGGGCGTGCGCCCGTAATCCCAGCTACTTGGGAGGCTGAGGCAGGAGAATCACGTGAACCCAGGAGGCAGAGGTTGCAGTAAGCCAAGATCGCACCACTGCACTCCAGCCTGGGCAACAGAATGAGACTCCATCTAAAAAAAAAAAAAATTACACCCACTTTAACCATAAGCATAATATAAATAAATAAAAATACATTGCAGATGCTGTGTTGTGTCTGTATTGGGTTATATCACTATATTTGTCTACTTGATAACATAGGGCTGGCTTTTTAAATATGCTAATTTAAGTGGTCTTGGGTTTTTTTTGGATTTTTTTTGTGACCACCGACCTTTTTAAATTTTACTGTTCTCTTTTAGGGAAGAAATAAAAATTCTATATAAGACCATATAAGATTTACAAAACATACATTTAATACAGAAGTTTGTGAAAAGTAAACTCTTATTTATAATTTACCAATCATACAGATGTCTTCTAAAAATGCATAAGAGTAAAATCATGTGGTGATACTGTCTTTGGTTTCTTTTTTAGGATATTATGGGGATGGATTAAATGCCATTGTTGTGTTTGCTGTCTGTTTCATGCCTGAAAGTAGTCAACCTAACTATAGATACCTGATGGACAATCTCTTTAAGTAAGTATACATTTAACAAAAACATTTGGACAGAATTTTGAGCTAATTAGATCTACACCTTAAGAAACTTAACCTTCGTAAAAATTATAAATATCCCAGTTCTTTGGGAGACTGAGATGGGCAGATCACTTGAGTCCAGGAGTTGGAGACCAGCCTAGGCAACATGACAAAGCCCTTTGTCTACACAATCAAAAAATTAGCCAGGCATGGTAGTATGGGCCTGTAGCCCCACCTACTCAGGAGGCTGAGGTGGGAGTATCACCTGAGCCCATGAGGTCAAAGCTGCAGTGAACTGTGATTTTGCCACTGCACTCTAGCCTGAGTGACAGAGTAAGACCCTGTCTCAGAAAAATAAATATCCCGTATCTTTTCAAGTGCAAGTTTGTGAACAACAGAATGAAGGTTAAAGTAAAAGTATTTGTTACTAGGTACAGGACTAGATGAGTCCTTATTCTTCGATGTGATGAAACAATAGTTTTCCAATTCAAGAGAAAAATTGTCATTTTAAAATGGGGAAATATATCTCAGATTATTTGTTCCAACTTGGTTTTGTTTTGTTTTGAGATGGAGTTTCACTCTGTCACCCAGGCTGAAGTGCAGTGGTACAACTACGGCTCCCTGCAGCCTTGGCCTCACGGGCTCAAGGCATCCTCCTACCTCGGTCTCCCTAGTGGCTAGGACTACAGGCACATGTCACCATATCCTGCTGACTTTTTAATTTTTGGTAGAGACAGGGTCTCACTGTGTTGTCAGGGTTGATCTCAAACTCCTGGGCTCAAGTAAGCCACCATGCCTTACCTGTCCCAACTGTTTTATTTTACATTTGCAGGCACATTAAGCGTAAAGAAGTGATTTTTCTCTCAAAATCATGTGGCTAAATTACATTTACCCCTAGAAGGCCAATATAACTGAGCTGAATCAGTTCTTTTTCCACAAGGTCATTCTATTTGTCAGGTTAGTGGTGTTTTTAAAAACCGTATTGTGGAAAGTTTCAAACATACACAGGGCTAAAGAGAAGTATATCAGATCTTCATGTATCAGTCACTTCAACAATTATCTATTTATACTTTGTTCCCACTTCTAACCCCCAGTATATAATTTTAAAGCAAATCCCAGAAGCAAATCATCTAGAAACATTTCAGTATACATCTCTAAAAAATAACTTTTTAAAATAATCATAATACAAGCTAATGCAGTTTGAGCATTTTCATTGTAGGAGAGAGGAGGGAATTGTATAATTGTATAATTTAGAGAACCTAGTTCAGTTATGCACAGTGATTTTTAAGGCTTAAACTTAATTTGTTTTTTACAGATATGTTATTGGCACTTTGGAGCTATTAGTAGCAGAAAACTACATGATAGTTTATTTAAATGGTGCAACAACTCGAAGAAAAATGCCCAGTCTGGGATGGCTCAGGAAATGTTATCAGCAAATTGATAGAAGGTAATACACATACAAGTTGAAAGCTAGTCTGATAAATTTTTATAATGGCTTTAGTAGATCAAACTTTGTTTTCTGTTGCCTTTTTTTTTTTTTTTTTTTGGGCTGGGTTTTTTTCTTTTCCCTGGCTGGAGTGAAGTGGCATGATCTCGGCTCACTGCAACCTCTGCCTCCTGGGTTCAACCAATTCTCCTGCCTCAGCCTCCCAAGTAGCTGGGATTACAGACATGCACCACCACGCCCAGCTAATTTTGTATTTTTAGTAGAGATGGGGTTTCTCCATGTTGGTCAGGCTGGTCTCGAACTCCTGACCTCAGGTGATCCTCCTGCCTCGGCCTCCCAAAGTGCTGGGATTACAGGTATGAGCCACAACACCCGGCCTTCAGTTGCTATTTTAAAACACCATTTATTTTTTAAATTTTATTTATTAATTTCATGGCAGGTTTCTATTTTCTAAAGATAGCATTTTAGAATATTGTGAGGTAAATCAATTTTGATTTTTCTATAAAGAATAACCTTAATTCTTCTAACTTACAAAGTAGCTCTATATTTCTCCTTATTTATAAGGAGAAATTGAACACTTTCTCCTTATTTATAAGGTGCAATTTTCTCCCCATTGAACACTTTCCTACTATTTACATCTTGGGAAAGGATGGAGAATGTAGTGTGTTTCCTATTTTATTACATTCTGAGGTTTGCCTAATTTATAGTGCTTAGGATGTTTTATGTTTTTGTTTTTGTTTTGTTTTGAGACAGGGTCTCACTCTGTCACCTAGGCTGGAGTGCAGTGGTGCAATCTCTGCTCACTGTAGCGGCAACCTTCCAGGCTCAGGTGATTCTCCCACCTCAGCCTCCCAGGTAGCTGGGACTACAGGCTTGTGCCACCACACCCAGCTAATTTTTGTATTTTTTGTGGAGACAGTGTTTCAGCATGTTGCCCAGGCTGGTTCTCGAACTCCTGGACTAACGCGATCCACCTGCCTCGGCCTCCCAAAGTGCTAGGATTACAGGCATGAGACACAGTGCTCAGTCTTTATGTTTCTTAATGACGCTTGTTTAGTTGTAAAAGTCTTTCTTTGGAACAAGCTTTTGAAGCGTATTGTCTTGGGAGTTAGTCATTAGTACTTAATGGAAGGAATGTGATCTTCCAATTGGTTTGATCTTGCCATGGCTAATTTAAATCAAGTCTAAATTTGACATTGGCTAGCTCTTGTGATTATATATGTATCTCACTTTATGTGTGAAATATGCATAATACAATAAGTTTGTATTTAGTCATTTAAAAAGAAGAGCTCTAGGATAATACCTTTAATATTTAATCAAAACTTTAAATTCCTTGAGAATAGGAGTTAGATCTGATTTGTTTTTGTTCCTGTGGTCATCTTCTCCACTCACACTTCTCTGCCTGCACAGTGCTTTTCGTGATTTTGAAGAACTTAGCACCAGTTTCTCCCTAGTCTTGGAAAATGAGGATAGTTTACTTTTACATTCAGGATGGCCTCTTTCCCTGGTTGACAGAGTCCTGAAGACAAGTGAATGTGTATGCTAGGAGACATTTAATAACAGGCTATACTATGGACATAAATTTGGCCAAATAAAGTAAAGTTCATTTCATAGCAGTAGGAGGGACCATCAGAATTCAAGAATCCTTTTTCTTGTCTACAGGGGTATCATACCTAAATGAAAACTCCTGGGTGAGATTTTTCAACTGTTATTTTGTATAAAGTTGCACATATTTATTGATGTCTTGACTTTTAGCATTAGAATTTATAGAGATTTTTAATTTTCTTTGTGTATGTGTGTTTTTTTGTTTTGTTTTGTTTTTTTATTAACTCCAGGTTACGGAAAAATCTAAAATCCCTAATCATTGTACATCCTTCTTGGTTTATCAGAACACTTCTGGCTGTTACAAGACCATTTATTAGGTAATTTTTGAGAGCCATTGACTTTAATTTTATTTTAACTTTTTTTTCATTTATTTTTAGTTAACACATAATAACTATACATATTTATGGGATACAGAGCTATATTTTGATATGTGTATACATTGTATAATGATCAAACCAGGGTGATTAGCACATACATCACCTCAGACATTTATCATCTTTTTGTGTTTTGAACATTCAAAATGACATGAGTTTTTAAAAAAAAATTCTTACATTTGTATATAAGAAATTTTTGTATCTTGTAAACATTGTATCCATTGTATTTGTCAGAAATATGGAGGTAATTATTTTTATTTTCTTCCATAGCTCAAAATTCAGCCAAAAAATTAGATACGTCTTTAATTTGGCAGAACTAGCAGAGCTTGTCCCCATGGAATATGTTGGCATACCAGAATGCATAAAACAGTATGTTTTGTTTTATTTCCTTAATTGTATTGGATCTTAATATTTTGATGTGCAACGGATAATACTTTTCAATACTCATTCTTTATGTATTTTATAACTGTGTGTGTGTGTGTGTGTGTGTGTGTGTGTGTGTGTGTGTGTAACAAAGAAAAAGAGGAAGAAGCCACTTCCCACACCGTCCCCATAAGTTAGCATTTTTTTCAGGCTGTCAATTGAAGAACTAGGATAAATTATTTCTGGTTGTGATTCATGTTATACTTTTTAGACTGGTTATAATCTAAGAGATGATTTTTCTGATTGATCAGTACTAAAGAACATTCTCCAGACTTGAACATGGTGCTCAACAAATTTGAGTAAACTCATCATGAATATTATTATTGAATAATTATGTTGCTAAATAAATAAAAATATTTAAATCATTATAACCTTAATGTTTTCCAGTGACTGAAATTTTGTTCTGATTATCAGATGCACATTCTTCCATGTAACTTCTTGGAGTTGATAGAAGGCTGTTAACATAAATACCTGAGTATTACAATGCATGTGGAAAAGTTTCTTTGTTCCGCTCACATGAGGTTTTACTCTATTTAATGTGTGAAAGTCAGATTTATTAAGTCAGTTTTTACTTTCTACATCATGTATTAAATGTTTTTCGTTTTACTGGAAAATGTAAATAGGTTTAAGTACCTTTTTTCAAGTTTTTATTCATTTTCATAACATGTATATTTACTGAAATAACTCTTCCCTACAAAGGTATGAAGAAGAAAAGTTTAAAAAGAAACAAAAAAGGTATATGCACACCTTGACTGGGTTGCATCTAGACTAGTCCATTTGCATTGCAGACTAACTCTTCCTTATTGGTTGGTTAGCTTGTAGACAAAGATAATAGCATTTGTAAATATAAACGTACCCAACTTCCAAATACAGGGTGAACCCAGAGTTCCTAAGGCTGAATATGACTTGGATTCACCCTGTTTTATTGCCATATGTGATGCCAGTTAAGACTTAAAGACCACGGACCCTTCTCTCTCCTGCTTAGTCTAAGTACTAATGGTGAAACCACAGAAATTACTAAAAATGGTATTTGGAACACCAAATAAAAGACTTCAGTTGTTTCACCATTTTCTTTAAATGGCTAACTTGTGCTTTTGAAATATTTTTGCAGACTTTTTAAAAGCTATCCATTTATTTCCCTGGGGTTGATTATTATATTTGCAATGCATATATTCTTTGGCTAACCAACATTGATTTCCTTTTATGCTTAAATTAAATGGCTTGCTAACCAGTCAAATTCTACATGTGATAAAATACCTAAAATCTCAGTGTCCCATTTAACAGTTAAACACTCTGCTTTCTATTTTAAATTTAATTTTGAACACTTCTGCTTTGAGCATAACAAACTATTATCTATTGATACCTTGACATAGATGGTGAAAGAAGGCAAGGGTATAAAATACTTACAATTTTATATAATAATTTAGAAAAATGTAGAATTTGGATCTAGTTTGTTAGATCTTTAAAATATTGGCAATTAAATTAGCAAAACATAGTTTAATGCAATCTTAAGAGTTATGGTGAGAGATTTATATGTAATTATCTTGACCATTCTAAGGAGCCAACTGTAACTAACTGGAACATTCTTAACTTTGAACACATTTTGTTTCTGTTGATGAGTGAGAATTCAGTAGGCCTTGTGATAGAATCAGTTTTACACTTCTATATGACACTTCACAGTTTAACCAACACTTTAACATAAATGTAGACAGTGATTTTAGATCATGCTGATTTCTCATTCCTTTCTAGGCATTACTGTGCATCCAACAGACACGTGACTGAAATTAAAAATATGATTTGTAATTGTAGAATATTTTGAAGCCAGCCACTTCATAGATTTCACAGTGAATTGCCTTTGTTGATAAAATGTGCTGTATTAAGCCTTTTTTTAAAAAAGTTTTTAATACTGTAAAGTAATTTAGACATCAGAAAAAAATACGGAATTTGTACTTTAAATGTATTGTTTGAAACCGGTCACTATTTTATCTTGAGTTTTTTTTACTTGTGTTTAACCATAAATACAATTATTACATGTATCTTTCATAAACTTTGTGGTTTCTGTAGTTTTTTTAGTCTTAAAAAATAATAAATTTTTGTCAATCTGAAAAGGATAAAATTTAATTTTTAAATTAAATTTAGATAGGCATGTTTTGTTTTGAGATGGAGTTTTGCTCTTGTCACCCAGGTGGGAGTGCAATGGCCCAATCTCAGCTAACTGCAATCTCTGCCTCCTGGGTTCAAGCGATTCTCCTGGCTCTGCCTCCCAAGTAGCTGGGATTACAGCCTCCCACCACCACGCCTGACTAATTTTTGCATTTTTAGTAGAGACCAGGTTTCACTATGTTGGCCAGGATGGTCTCGAACTCCTGATCTCAGGTGATCTGCCCACCTTGGCCTCCCAAAGTGCTGGGATTACAGGCGTCAGCCACCACACCCAGCCTAAACCAAACTTTACAGAGGCTAGGTACAAGGGAGCTTATTTAAGGTGACAACTCCATGATATGATAAGTACTGGTGCTAAGGAAAATACGAAACTATGAGTCCGTATGGCAGGTTTTTGGGGAGCAGGGGAAGAAGGGGTAAAACCATTTTCTTGAAGGGCATGTGGGGAAGAGGGTTGAAGAAATGTTGACAACAGTGAGATCCAATGTCCCCAGTGATAGAAAAAGGATAGCAGTTTTAAATGTTTCTTTCAAACAACTGGATGCAAGTGTGGCCATGCAGATACAGATTGTTAAAATGTTTCAGGGGAGTTTAAAAATAATTATGAAATTAGTTGGTAAGGAAATTTCAGATGTTAAGAGGATTTGATATGTTTTGCATGCCTTATCAGAAATATGTACATTCCAAATTTTTTATAACTATTTAAAATATTTTAAAATGTTACTTTGGCTTTACCACAGACCAGGGCTTTTAGGTCTGTTTTACTAATATTCAGGTGGACATAGTAATGGGTGATAAGAATAAAAACATATGAAAAATATTTTTCTATATCTAATACCAGATTGTTTTAAAGGTCCCTGCATCAGTTATTCAGACCACTACAAATGTAATAGTAATAGACTGTTATCTTTGAAAGGTTGTAATTATTATGTGGTAATTATGTAATCCTTCTAATCCCCACATGTCTAAATTTTGATATGACTGATGTCCAGCCCACCACTAAATAAATAAGTTTTTTGATGGGTTTTTGTTTTGTTTTGTTTTGTTTTGTTTTTTGAGACCAGGTCTTCTCTGTCACCCAGGCTGGAGTGCAGTGGTGCAGTCTCGGCTCACTGCTGCCTCCGTCTCCAGGGCTCAAGCAGTCCTTCCGAGTAGCTGGGACTACAGGTGCACGCTGCCACACCTGGCTAATTTTTATTTTTTGTAGAGACAGAGTTTTGCCATGTTGCCCAGGCTGGTCTCGAACTCCTGGTCAAGTAGTCCGCCCGCCTCGGCCTTCCAAAGTGCTGGGATTACAGGTGTGAGCCACTGTGCCCAGCCAATAATTAATTTATATTTAGATATTTTTGAATGTTAAATTCTTAAGGCTTCATACTGTCAAAACAAATTTAAGGCATTCACAGACTGGACTGTGTACCAATAAGTTTTGGAGAATAATTACGGGTTCTATAAGGATGCATTTTTTTATCACTGGATTTTAAAATATTGATTGATCAATTGGTGGCGTTCGTGGCACTTTCATATTTTAGTTAACAGAATCATTTTTGAGGGAGTTGTTTTTCCTGCCAGTTTCTTACCACCTGGATCCTCACCACAGCCAAGTTACCGGTCAAGATTTTAATACGCCATGTAACTTGAACTTCTAAGGAAGTTTATATGCATTTGTATGTAAAGTATTTTATAATCTTTAAAGAAACAACAGTCACATTTCTTGCCAGAGTCCCCCTGCCTTTAAAAATTCTCTTTTCTGGTTGGGGAAATGATGTCTGGTAACTGTTTTTACTACGTCTGCTTCTTTGCAAAGCTTCGTCTTTAACAGAGTAATATTCTATGCTAAAATAGTCATTATTTTTAGAAAGAAAATTGTTCAGCTGCTGGTTTCTCATTATATATATTCTTCATTAAACAGAGTTGATCAAGAGCTTAATGGAAAACAAGATGAACCGAAAAGTGAACAGTAAGTTTGGCACCTAGTCCAAACAAGACTGAAGAATGTGCTGATGGAGCAGTGCTGTTTTTGCATTCATAATGCATTTATTGGCCCATATTTTTATGTAACCTGTTACAAAACCGACTTGACTTTTTCATAATGGACTTTTGTATTATACAAGGGACTGTTCACTGCTGTATTGGTTTGCAAATCTCTTGAATTTAGCTCTTTAATAGCTAACTGTATTATTATTTTATATTTTGTATTGCTAAATAGCAGAGAACTACACTATATAAAGCAGTTTTTGCATTTGTTTATTGAATGATGCATCTTCCGTGAAATATTTATATGCATAAATGGCAAGGGAAAGATAATATATATTTTTATGTTATTGAGCAATATTTTTTAATGTGTACCTGTCTTATGGAAGAAATATGCAGGTAAATAAGACCATGATTTTGTAAAGTACATATTAGAATTTTTGTTTTTGTAAATTGTTAAATACATTTCCTGAGTAACTTAGAAAATTAAGTTTCTCATAAGGCAACAGACGGTTAAACTGATTCTCATGAATTGAATACCCAAAGATCATGTATATAATCGAAGTGTACCATCCCAAGATTTTTTTCTTATTTAACATATATTGTTTCATAATTCAGCAAGTACAAATGCAAGTGCATTGCACACTTTTTCCTTTTTAAACTTAAAGACAAGTCAAAAAGCCATTTTTAGAACTAGAGGATTTAAGAGGCTAGGAATTGGGGTTTGTGTATATGTATATATGGGACATTTTATCTTCTGGCCCAAAGTCAGAACTTTATAAAAATCTTGAGTTTGTTCACTAATGTGAAATAAGCTATGTGTCCAGGGTATTGCTCCCCTGAGTGTGTGTGAGTGCTGAGTAGTACTGCAGAGAATGTGATGAGTTATTCACTGTCACAACTTTTTCTATAGAAAACAGGGGCTGCTTTTTAAACTGCTCTCACTATGGGCACTTTACCAAAATACTTCCATATCAATTATTTGAACTCAGTAGTTGTTTGACCTAGTTAGATCTGGTGTTTATTCAAGTTTCTATGAAATCATGTTTGACAATACTGTAAATTAGGTTAATTTTGTAAGTCTGAGAGAGCATCATTATATTGTGCTGTTTTGGATAACACATTTGTTACAAGCATTTAAACTGTTTCATTTGGTAAGTACCTTTACATTGAAATAAATTGTGTTTGTGCCTCCAAACAGAAAGTTTAATTACCGACAAAATTATTTCTAAAACAACAGATTGATCTAATACTGTGTCTCATACTTGAAAGACTCATATACAGCTGATAAGCATACTACCTGCCAAATTTGAAGGTCATGGCTACTCTTCAACCCTTCCTGTAAGGTATTTTGCAAAACAGTGGTCTAGGGTAGGAAAATTGAAGTGGATGTGAGCTAACTTTTTAGGATTTATTCTATCCTAGATTGAACACACATGTGGCTGTTACCATTCTCATGTACTTATAAGCCTTCTGTTACAAAAGGGAACTTTCCTATACTTTTTGTCCTCCTCAGTCCTAAACTTGGCATGCTAACTTAAAACCAGTTCTAAGAGAGAGATGCTGGAGGATTCCCAGGATGAAACATTCCTCAGCAGCCTCCTGACTTAACCTGGATCCAGCAGCTCTTGGCAGATCCTGAACTAATGTCATTATAGTGAATTGAGCCAAAACCATTATTGCTTGCTCACATCTTAGGAACACTTTTTGTTGAAGAAGCAAACTAACAATAACAAGTTAGGCATTCCTTCTGAATTTACCATATGAGGATTATGTATAAACAATTGTATTGAATTTGTCATTAGATTCTTTATTGGTAGACGATTTAACATAGTCTTTCATCTATACATCTTTATGTTGCTCAGAATGGGCTGAGGTTTTTAATAGGTGGTTTTCTACCACATTAAGTACTTGGTTCTTCAGTTTAAAAAATACGAAGAATAACTTCAACTCTTTTTTGCGTTATTTTGATTTTTGATTTTGCAGTCATTGCTCCTAACGGTAGATAAGTGTTGCAAAAGTGATGTTTTTCTGAGTTTTTTTTTTTTAAAGTAGAAGACTGTTCTGTTAACCATTAAAATTCAGAGACAACAGTGATAACACCTGGGATATAATGAAAATGAGGTGCTGTGAATCAGTAAACTAAAGGGATACCTGCTTTAACCTACACCTGAATGGAATCTGGTGTAGAGATGTACCCACAATAAATGTTTTATAAGATTTAAAATCATAACTAGTGGGTTAGAGGAAGAGCACTTACTAAGTCTGTTGTTTCTAATCTATAGCTATGCAACATTTTCCCATATTATTCCATTTTAATTTCCCATTACTGACTGAGGTGAAAGTATGTGTGATTGTACTTTTTATCTTTCTGTTGGGATCATGGATCTAATTTAACTGGCTTATTTTGATGCTTCTGTCACTAGGCTCTAAGTGCCCCTTTTTTAGTCAGAAGTTTTTCATGTGAAATAATTTGATTCTGTGTTCTGCTTGATCATACTCTTAAGCACCAAGGGAAGATGTTCTATTCACCCCACAATTTAAGCTTAACAGTCTAACTCGGAGGGAGATATGCAGAAATATGATTCTAAGTAGGGTCTAGCAGAGTCATTGGAAAGTGATAAAACTAGGAAGTAAGAGAAAGCAAACCTTTATAAAGGGATAAAGACATAACTGTCACCTAATATGCCACTGTATGTGTGTCCTTTTTTTTTTTTTTTTTTTTTTTTTTTTTTTTTTTTTTTTTGAGACAGAGTCTCACTCCATCACCCAATCTGGAGTGCAGTGGCTCACTGCAACCTCTGCCTCCTGGGTTCAAGCATTTCTCCTGCCTCAGCCTCCTGAGTAGCTGGGATTACAGGCACACGCCACCATGCCTGGCTCATTTTTGTATTTTTAGTAGAGACGGGGTTTCACCATGCTAGGCTGGTCTTGAACTCCTGACCTCGCTATCTGCCTGCCTCAGCCTCCCAAATGCTGGGATTACAGGTGTGAGCCACCGCGTCTGGCCACGTGTGTCCTTTTCATATTTCACTCTTGCTGAACATTGATTTACTCTTCCAAAATGGACATCACTAGTAAGTGCACTGAATACTGAAATATGCTGATTGGCAAGCATATATCTGTAGCTAGAATTTTTTCAACCATAATTCCAGAATTTAAAAAGGTAAGAGATCTGCTTTTTGATAGAGGCCTTTTAAAAAGACTGTATAACTTTTCTATTTGGCCATTTATGTGAATGCTCAGGGAATTTGGAAATGTGTTTTATACAGAAGTGGCTTTTTATATTTCTTAAAGTGATAAATTAGCATTAGGACATACCAGATAGAACAGGCCAGTGTCCTGATGAGGTTGGTAGAGATGTGACAGTAGGTTCATCCTTCCTTTTCCCATGTTATATGCAGAGAAGTGTTAAACTTGCTCAAGCAAACGGGAGTAGGAGATAAGCTGAAAATAGAGATTGCTACACCATTCTATTTTGTTTTCATGCCTGTTTTTTTCTCTAATCCTGTATGGACATTTGAGAAATGGACCACAAATCTGAGCGGGATAGAGTAAAAGGTATTAATGTATGTACTTACAAGTTAGGCCTATTTTGCTGTTAAAGAGTCTGTCTTGTCATAGGTCATAGGAAGTGTGTAGTTTGAGTTGCTGGGAGAAAAAGTCAAGAACTTAGACTTGAATGGGAAGGCCAACTGGTGACGGAAGTGGGGTATTATCTACTCAATGTTCTAAGCTAATACAAAAGAATTACCTGGCAAGCATCCCCCTCTGCCCTTCTTGAGATTCTGAATGAATTTAGAATCAGATCAGTGGTGAGACCCAGTTATGTAACTTTCCTTTGAAGTTCGAAGTGATAATTGAAATTAAAGTAGTATGGCATGTTTAACAGTAAGGAGTGACGATAAAATTTAAATATAACAGTATGTTGCAACAATTTATAGTAGACCTACTTATGTTTTGAGAACTAAGTAAAATGCTTTGAAAAGTTCACATAAAGCACTTAAGCACCAAATGAAAATGATTTTGTGCTTTCAAATTAATGATATTAGGCTTGTAGGATGTCTTAGAATAAAATATGATTCTAAGACATCCTACAAGAAGTGAAAACATTTGCATTTTGAAATTTGTACGCAGTTTGGCTAAGGAGGAACTTGGAAATTTTTATGCAGTTTGGCGAAGGAGGAACTTGGAAAATAACATTCATCAGCTTCTACACAGCACTTTTTGTATGTGGACTTTGTAAAGTTTAATGTCCCTTTAACAGTTGCTTGTTTATTTGTGTAAACCTAACTAGTAAATATTGATGGTGTTCAGGGCCACTGACTTGCACAGCCCTTGGAGCACTATTCGCACAGAACACAATTCAGAGTTTGTTAAGACCTTAACGCACTTTGATACCTATTTCAAAAATACTTTTGTTACCACAAGTTCATTGCTGTCATTTAGACAAAATTAATGTACTGTGATGTTTTCCTACTCTTAGGATGATGTTGCCCAGCCTAGTACTGTCATTTTACATTGTGAGAAATTCAGTTCTGATGTCTGTGTGTGCAGGATATTAATGTGGTCCCTGTAAGAAATACTACAGTTGGTCATGATTTTCTAAGGAGATGTAATATTTTCTTTGACCTGTTAGGAATATAACTTGTGTCTTGATTTGTTGCACATCATATTTTTTGCAACATTAATGAATTTAAATAAATTAATTGGAACGTTCGTCTTTGTCTTTTTATCACATTTTTCTTTCATTATGCTACTAAATTTTTGCTTTGAATTATCCTATAAACCTCTTAAGTAATTTCAGACCTCTACACTTGGTTCCCTTTCTGTAGTCTGAGTGCTTCTATTCTTTGGGGATTAGAGAGTTCAGCCTGCTTTATTTATTTATTTATTT